AAGAAGAAGAAGAAGAAGAAGAAGAAGAAGAAGAAGAAGAAGAAGAAAAGGACAAGGACAAGATCCTTCCAAAGACCCACTCCAAGTGGCATATTTCTTCCAGCTAAATCTTACTGGCAATGATCACCGGAAGCTCCCCAAACAGTGTCATCAGTTAGGGACCAAGCTTTCAAAACGTGAGCCCGTGTGACACATTTCATATTCAAACCAAAACAATCAACCCCAACTAGATGTAAAATAAAGCACAATCAACAGGAAATGGAGAAATCCATAAGTGGTCGTGCTTACTATACTGACCTTACTTCTGAGTCTGTGTTAATTTCTGTGTGGCAGTCATTGTGGGTAAAAGCCTGTCCCCACAGTGTTTAGCTATTATCTCAAGGGGGAAAAGAGTTGCTGATACTATTTCCTTTCAATCTGTGCTTCAGTTTTCCTTTTCTAACTTTCAAGAGGTTCATAATAGGTAAAATTTAAATCTCCCACTTATATTCTCTCATTCTCCCCCCCCCCCCCCAGGAGACTTTGAATGTGATCGATCCTGGCTTGATGGACCTGAATGGAATGAGTGAGGACGCCCTGGAATGGGATGAAACAGATATAAGTAACAAACTAATTAGTTTGCATGAAGAATCAAATGACCTTGATCAAGACGCAGAGCCTGTGAAGCTCGAAGAGACACACGAGGAGCCTGGCTATGAGGAGGAGGCCGGCGGCTGCGGAGGGTCTCCGTTTGCCTCAAACATCGCTGCACCTTCCAGCCCACACGTTTACCAAGTGTACAGTCTTCACAACGTTGAGCTCCACGAGGACAGCCACGCTCCGTTCCTGAAAAGCAGCTCCAAGCTTCCAGGCACAGCACAGCCTACTAGTTTAACCAAGAGCCTCAGTAAAGATTCTTCCTTTTCATCCACAAAATCATTGCCAGATCTTTTAGGGGGATTCAGTTTGGTGAGGCCTTGCCCATGTCATAGTGGAGACATGAGCCAGAATTCAGGCAGTGAGAGTGGAATCGTCAGTGAAGGAGACAACTCTGAAATGTGCTTGTTCAGTACGGTAGATGGGTCTCCAAGTAACTCTGAAACTGAACATCTGGGCCCACAAATGGGAGATGCAGTCAGCATGGTAGAGCAAAAATTTAAAGATGAGAGGAAATGCATTAAGCTTCGAAGTATCTCTCAGGCACCCACCTCACCAGTGGGTTGTGTAAATGGAAAAGCTGGAGATTTAAACAGTGTTACCAAACATGCTCCTGATTGTTTGGGAGAAGAATTACAAGGAAAACATGATGTGTTTACATTTTATGATTACTCATACCTCCAAGGCTCAAAACTCAAATTACCGATGATAATGAAACAGTCACAAAGTGAAAAGACACACGTGGAAGATCCCCTTCTTTGTGGTTTTTATTTTGATAAAAAATCCTGCAAATCTAAACATCAGGCTTCAGAGTTACAACCAGATGCGCCTCCCCATGAAAGGATTTTGGCAAGTGCACCCCACGAAATGGGTCGCAGCTCATATAAAAGTAACGACATAGAGAAGACATTCACAGGCATTCAGAATGCCAGACAGCTCTCCCTTTTATCTCGTAGCTCATCTGTAGAGTCCCTTTCTCCAGGGGCTGATTTGTTTGGATTGGGAATCTTTAAAAATGGCAGTGACAGCCTCCAGCGAAGCACTTCCTTAGAAAGTTGGTTGACATCTTATAAGAGTAATGAGGATCTTTTTAGCTGTCACAGCTCTGGGGACATCAGTGTGAGCAGTGGCTCAGTTGGTGAGCTGAGTAAGAGAACATTAGACCTTCTGAATCGTCTGGAGAATATCCAGAGCCCTTCAGAGCAAAAGATCAAGCGAAGTGTTTCTGACATCACTCTCCAAAGCAGTTCCCAAAAGATGTCCTTCACTGGCCAGATGTCACTGGATGTCGCATCTTCTATCAATGAAGACTCAGCAGCATCTCTTACAGAGCTGAGTAGCAGTGATGAGCTCTCTCTTTGCTCAGAGGATATTGTATTACACAAAAACAAGATCCCAGAATCAAATGCATCATTCAGGAAGCGCCTGAACCGCTCAGTGGCTGATGAAAGCGATGTCAATGTCAGTATGATTGTCAATGTCTCCTGCACCTCAGCTTGCACTGATGACGAAGATGACAGTGACCTCCTCTCCAGCTCCACGCTCACCCTGACTGAAGAGGAGCTATGCCTCAAGGATGAGGGTGATGGCTCCAGTATTGGAACAGATGATGAGATCTATGAAGAAAGCAGCCTGATGTCTGGGCTGGACTACATAAAGAACGAGCTGCAGACTTGGATAAGACCAAAATTTTCCTTGACAAGAGAAAAGAAACGGTGCAGTGTCACTGATGAATTAAAGGGCAATAAAGATGGAGGAAGTAATGAGAAGGTCAATCCCTCAGACACCCTGAACATTGAGGCCCTTCTAAATGGCTCCATAAAATGTCTGTCTGAAAACAATGGAAATGGCAAGAGTCTACCCAAAACTCATGACTTAGGAACAAAAGGTGAGAGCAACAAAAATGCTTATGAAGTTAGTAAGGATCCACTCGTGGCTGACATGGAAAATGGCAATATTGAAAGTGCTCCAGAAAGACAAAAGGAAAAGCCACAGACAGTTCCAGAGGCAGCGGAGAACCTTGGTTCTAATGTGAGAAAGATTTCTGAGCCCAAGCACACTGAGTGTAAAGCAGTAACGGACGGTTCCGAGGATTCACGTGTCATTGGAAAGGAATTTGGTCTCCCAAAGGATAGACTTCTTCCACAGATGGATCTAAATATCCAGCATTCTGAAAATCAAAGCACGTACTGCACGCCCGTTGAGAACTCATGCCCAGAAATAATGTTAGAAACCAGAGTTGGAAGCAGACAAGACAGGGATGGACTAAAATCTTTGTCTAATGATGCACCAAGTGGGGCTAGAAAAACTGCTGGTTGCTGCCTGCTCGAACAAAATGAGACGGAGGAAAGTGCTTCTATCAGCAACAGCACTTCCTGTTGCAACTGTGAGCCAGATGTCTTCCATCAAAAAGATGATGAAGATTGTTCAGTACATGACTTTGTTAAGGAAATCATTGACATGGCATCCACAGCCCTAAAAAGCAAATCTCAACCTGAAAGTGAGGTAGCTGCTCCCACATCATTAACTCAAATTAAGGAGAAAGTGTTAGAACATTCCCACCGGCCCATCCACCTGAGAAAGGGGGATTTCTACTCGTACTTATCTCTTTCATCCCATGACAGTGACTGTGGGGAGGTCACCAGTTACGTAGATGAGAAGAGCAATACTCCATTGCCACCGGACACTGTGGATTCTGGCTTGGATGAAAAGGAAGACATTGAATGCTTCTTTGAAGCATGTGTTGAGGATGACCCTGTTGATGTGAAGGCCTGTTTCCCTAGTCCCCTTCCCAACGAGCCAGCACTTCCGGAGGAAGCTGCTAAGCCAGTACAGATGACAGCAAGCTTTCCTGTGTTGAGTGATGACACAGACCTGCTGGCTCTCTCAGGACCTTCCCCTCAGAAAGGAGCTGATGACGGGAAGGAAGGAGATGGTGTGTCCCATACTTCCCAGGGCTGTACAGAGAGTTCAAAGCTTACAGCTCCTTCAGGAAGGGTCCGTAAAGAGGAGAGTTCAAGAAACCAAGGTGAATCAGGGATGCCAGAAGAAAACGCTGCTTCAGCCAAATCGAAAATTCAAGCTTTCCCTCTGAATCCAAAACAGCCAAAAGGCAAGGTTGTGTTGTATCCCAGCCCCCACACTTTAACCTGTAAAGAAAAGCTTGTAAGCTTTCATGAAGATCGACATAGCAACATGCATAGGTAGAATGCAACACCCCTGAGCATGGAAATCATCTCATTGAAAGGTATGTATGATTACTTGTGCCACCTGTGTGTGTGTGGTGTAAACATAAGTTTGCATTTTGCATTGATAGAACCACTATAGAAGACTGGACAGAATGACCAGTTTTGACACATACATATCTGAATAAGACATTTAAGCAGAAGCAAAACAGGGAAAGTATCTAAAGAGCAAAATGGGAACACTTGTGAATATTTGACATTTTTAAGTGATGGGATAGTTATTCCACTATTTTGGCAAGAGTAATACAAAATCTGATAAAACAACTGATCAGTTTAGGGCTGTAAATTCTTCAACTAGGGGAGAAAAAAAATACTGTGCGATTGCAGGCATTCCTTGAGATCAAAATGCATGTTGTGTGGCTGCATTCCTTACCTCAGCTCCTTCTTAGAACTGCCTGGTAATGAACAAGGACCAGGCTAAAGGCTGTGTCTCCTTCAGGCTTGGGCTTTCCTTCATGCCTCTACCTAACATAAGTGCCATCACAGTCAGTTCCCCATGGAAGGCTGTGCTGTCACAGCTCGTCATCATGACCATGCCCGAGAATCCAAACAGAAGCGAAAAGTTGATGTAAAAGATGAAGCAGCCACGCAAAACACAATTACTGGGAGAATACGTGACAAGTTAATGGTGTCTTGATAAAAACAGAATTTTTGAATTTTGCCTGAAGGTGACAGGCTGATTGCCATCATTTTTTTTTTGAGAAAGTCATTCCACTTTTCATATTTAATAAGACAGCTATTGATTGATAATTTTGAGATGATGATATAGCTTTAAAAGTGACACAAAGATTCTGTTAGTTCCTATTTCTAAGTCCCAGTGATGAATGCACTTCCTCAGCCAAGTTTAACGAGAAATATAGCTTTCAAATATTAGAGTTTGTGTTTCAGCAAAGTGTGAGGTGCATGGCACCGCTCCACCCCCACAGCAGAAGCCTAACGCTGTAACCTAAACTCATGATATAGGAAATGAATTATACAAGCAATCTACCCTAATTTGTTAACTTATTCAAATAACAGTTATTATACTTAACTATGCTAAAGATTATCTTTTTTGTGGCAGATTGTTTATTTTTTTGATGAGCCTAATTACTGATTTTCTAAAAGTAATTTACATTTATTACAAATACATCTTTTAAAATGTGACAGATAAATGTTGTTCCCATAATGTATTATGAAAAAAGTTACTATTTAAAAACACATTATTTAATTTGAAAGATGAATGGCAAACATCATTATTTTTTTCCTGCAGCACCTGTGCCCTAAGCTCATTAAAATGTGTGATTCTATGTAGAGCTGCTAGAATGGGGTGTGAGGGGGGAATCTATACCATATATATACCCTAAAAATAAACTCAGTATGCAAAACTGAAGAAAGCTACCCCACTTACTAATGTAGCTTCACTAATTTTCTATTTCAGACTCTATTTACAATTGGCTGCAAGTGAGAACGAAAGTGGGAGAGAGAAATGTGTTTTCTTTGAGTCGTGTCCACCCTATAATCACATCCTCCATCAGTATGCAGTAAAACTGACCATTAAGGGCGAGTAACTGGGATTCCATAAGCTGCTTCAGAGCAGGTTCTATTAGACTGATTGGATGTGGGCTCTGCCCGCCTCTGCAGAAGGCCCAGGAGAGCCTGGCTGTTATTTCCTGGAAAAGGATGAAGGCTTGAAAGCAGCAGCAGTCTGAGCGGGCCTCCCTGGGACTGCGACCCTCAGTCACCGGTCTGCTGAGATCTGGGCAGAGAAGGGCCAGCCCTGGGGAAGCCTCTGGAATGCATTCCCCCATTTGATCCTCTGGGAGTCTCTTCTCTCCCTTACATGGAGAAATGGAATTGAAATGAAATGTAAATGATGAGCAATTCCATTTTTTGACTTGAGGGAAGTGAAGGTGCTGATGGATCTGTGTAATTGTCACATTTTACAAGCACAGAGAGTGTAAAAGTATCAGCTGCCTGCCTGCCCGTCAGCAGTGTTCGGCTGTGCCCGTGCCAGGCTCCACTGTGGGCAAAGGGAGAAACAGGCAGATTTAATTTCTGGAGAACTGACAGGGCCCCAAGTGACACCAGCCTAGAGCTATGTGATAGCCATAGATTGCTCCTGTCCACCTTCGATGGTGTGTGAGCACATGTGTGTGTGCATGTGTGAGTGCCTTTGCCAGCATGCGTGTGTGTGTGTGTGTGTGTGTGTGTGTGTGTGTGTGTGCGCGCGCACAAGTGTTGCAGTATCATGTCAACAGAACATCGTGGTGCTTGATTCTTTGCCTAGTTACAAGCATTGGGTGTAAACTTTCACTGCCCAGCCAGGTGTCACAGTGCTGCCGCCGGAGAAGCTGTCCGATCCGAACGCCCTCGAGCTGGGGGTGCTGGGGGCAGGGAGTGGAGTGAGGGTCCTGGGGAGGACCCTCCATTTCCGTCAGGGTGAGCTTACAGTTGCCATTGTGCTTTCTACAGCGTCCCGAGTGAGCAGCAAAAGCTCTTTCTCCTTAAAGCCGTCTGAGGGCTGTTAGATGCCATCTTCTTTGTATCAGGACAAGACAATTCACTAAAGTCACTTTGCTGGAGCTCATTTCCCAGAAACAAACCCTCAGATGATGAAACGATTGTAATTCCACCCAAAAGTGTTTATGACTTAGAACCATGCACATAGTCTGCAACCAGAACAAATTCTTTTCAAAGAGTTTTGAAAATTATTTTATTTACTATGTTCTAATTAAAAAGCCTCTGAGCCCACTTGAGAGGATTTAATGTGCCCTAACGGCGTATGCATTTGCACTTATTTCCAGGCACACTGCTGGGCTTTTCACTGGATCCATTTGTGAGGCACATTTCTATAAAAAGAGAGAGGTCGGTTATAGCAGATCACATCAAAGGGGAGGTGACTGGGTGGGTCCAGTTCTCTCTGCCTAACTTGGAGGAAGCACACAGCATACGTCTGGAATGCCTCCTTGGCATTACTTTGCACTAATCTTTTTGCTGTATTCTGACAGTTATTTCTTCATAATCCTCACAATAAGCCTGTGATCTTTGATGAATGGTTTCACCCTAAACTTCAGGCTGGATAAATCCTATAGTGTAAAAAGCTAACTCCTCACACGCAGCCAGTGTGTAGTTTTCTGTCTTCTTCTCTAAGCGGTCTGATGGTGTGATGTGTGTGTATGTGTGTGGAGGGGAGCAGTTACATTTCTTTTGGACTTGCCTTCTTTATCAGTCTGTCAGCGTCACGATGGGCGTGGAGCTTTAGACTTTAGATTTTATGTATGGTGATGCATGTTCAAGTTTGCACATACACAGCTTAAAGTGCTGCTCGGCTTCTATAGATTGAGGACATGATAGGAGCAAACACTGCCCGCTGCATGCAGCACCTCATTTTCTCAGTGCTCTGGCACTGTTTGGGGTTCCCCAAGGCTGGCCAGGCAGCTTTAGGAAACCACATTGGGAATTTGTATATTTTTTCACTAGACACAACACATAAGTTTTATAAAATTTACCTTTGAATTACCTCACTAACCCAAGCTTCTGCTGCTGGCTGTCCTTTGAATCATCTGGCACGTCTAAGTAACTTGCCATGCTATGTAAAGATTTTATTGGATAAAGTCAGCCTCTCTCTGCCTCTGTCTCTCTGTCTCTCCCCCTCTGACTCTGTCCCTTTCTCACACACACACACACACACACACACACACACACACACACACACACAGGATTTGGGCTTGAGCCCATTTGGCCTGCCTCTTCCCAAGTGTGCCAAATTACAAGAATTGATTACCCAGAGGGAATTCAAATGCCAGCCAGCTCTTTGCTAAGACAGGATTGGATTGGCTTCACGGGAGGATTCCCTGCTCAGTGGCAGATTTCGGATGAGTCACATCCTCAAGCATTTGAGCAATGCTGTGCTGTGCTTTCTTGAATGACTGCATTATTTTACTGTACCAAATTTTGTTCCATCTGTCTCTGTCTGTCTCGCCCATTCCCGTTAACTTCCCCTATCTTCTCAACATCCTGTTTAGCTCTAGTGGAACTATGGTTGGAAAGCTTTTTCTAACTCCTACACAAAGTTGTAAGTTTATAGAAAGAGTCAGAAAGACACAGGAGAATATTTGCCTCTAAGAGATCAGCAGAAAAAAAAAAGCTACATATATGTGTATATATGTATATACACACATATATATGTATACACATATATATATACATATATATGTCCATGTATACACATGTATATAAAACTATGTATATACATATATATATATTCAGAATTGAACCCAGACAAGCAGAGGCCTGCTTTATTTGAGAGCTGGTCTGAGAACCTAAAGTTGTATCCTGGAATTTAGATATTTCTCAGCGGTGACCAGTTATTATAGCCATTTAGAAATAAATAGGACAAAATGAGCTTGTAACAAATTTGTATCAATCATCACATATAAAAAGAGAATTGAGTCAGTTTAATTTCCACAATGCTTCCTGTACCTAAAATGAAACTCAGTAGTATTTGAGCTGTAAATTCTAATTATACCCTTTCGTAGGCAAGGATTTGAAGCATTCAGAATTATCACAATGTTGTGAACGTTTCATTACTACATAATAGAATTGTTTAACATCAAACATAAATCACAGAAGAACATGTTAACCTGAGGACTAGGTACCCTCTCTGTGAATTGTTGTCCATACATTGTCATATTCCTTGGTATTAACTGCTTGGCATTTTCATACAGATTTGGAACTGTCTTGATAAAACTAAGATCACAGAAGAATGGATGAATTAATGATGCAGAGAAAAGATGACCCCCTTCATTTGGCTTATTTTTTGAAACCGTATAAATATATTGAAGTATCTATGTATCTTACTGAACTGAAATGGTTTTGTATGTAATTTGAGCCTTGAGCTAGTGAGTCACATTTCATAACTTCTCATTTCAGATCGCTAGCAGGTGATTCCCAGACCTTCCACATCCTGAAAGGGCTTCCTTCGGTAAACGGTAGAAACCTCACTGAAACCTCTTTCTGTCACCTTTTTGTTTCCTATAGATAGCCTGGCTGCAGCTCACGGCTGGCCTCCTTTCCCCTGGGCTGGTCTTGGGTTCCACCCGGCTGTCACTGCCGCCCGCCACATCGACGTTCTGAAGATGAACCGTTTTTCCGAATGTGGTCTGTCCGTGTGGGCCTTGTGATCAGATGTGCATTGCTTCTCTTAGGTGACTGTCTTAGTTCCACAAAGCTGCTTGCTCTCCCATGGATTCCTGTCCCAAGCTACCTCTGCCAACCTTATCTCTCCAGCAGACTTCTGTTTGTCCCTCCTCTCCCCTCCTGTTAAAGCTCTGCGGTTCCACAAATTGATGGTCCATTAAACCCACTGTTTGGAATGACACCCTCCCCCCATCAGTACTTGACCAATTTTATGTTTTACTCTGAAACTTTTCATGGTATTATACCTATGTTTGTTGAAAGAGATTTACCTAAAAAGCCAGCCATTGATTTGATTGTAGAATAGAGGGGACACATTGGTCCTTATTACAAAATAAGTGATGTTAAAAAGCACCATTTTAATTATTTCATTTTAATAATGATCTATGCAGCACTTCACGAAACAGCTGTAACAGTGTTGTAGATTATAAACTGGTACATTCTACTATTAAGTTTGTTTTGTTTCTATGCTTCTTGAGGTGGTAAGGAGAAAAACGTTTTTAAAACAGTGTGCCTTGCTGTATTTCTTATACCATTTATTAAAAAGCTGCTCTTATGGTAATACTACACTGGTTTGAAAGGAGGAAATAGCAAGGTTAAGATGTGTGAGTAATTTCTGTATATATGTATAAGCTAGTACAAACACTGACGTATGGCAGTACAAAATGCTTTCATGTTTGTGGTATCCAGTGATGCGGAGAACACAAGCCTTAAACCCATTCAATTGCATGATAATTAAAATTGGCATAATAAAAATAGCTTACTAGGGGAAAGGAAAATTAATGATTTCTTCTACCTTTGTTATTTACCAAATTCTTGCATCTGGGTCTGGAAAAGAGAAAAATATAAATAATAATAATACTAATAAACATGTATCAGCTTCCAAAATATCCACATTGCACAAAGGCTTAAGTTGCTTAAACTACAGACTAGGCCTGAAGCCTTCATAGTTTTTAAAATCTTTCTGTTTTACTGTAAACATCCTGAAATAGCAAATGTTTAAAGGCCATTTCCCCTACATCAACAAAATATTATTCTAAATATTTTTATTTCTACTTGTTTTTGTTTTAAAGTTGTATTTGGAGATCTTTTACATGTCCTAATTTATTTTAAATAATTATTTGAATGGGTTTGGTAGATGCTAGAAAAGTATATAAAATTTGACTATTATTTTTATTTAAAGTATAGATTTCAGGTGTATTTATTTTATTAAGTAAAATCAACAGAGAAATACTCCATTTGGTCTTTTTTGGATTGAAAAAGTCATCTTTTAATTTATAGCATAACTCCTACTAAAGTGCCTGACACACAGTAGGTATGACATAGAAACTGGCACGCAGTAGCTATTGGTAGAGTCTGCTGAGTAAGAGTATTGACTGAGGCAACACGGGATACATACATACATACCTATATGTGTGTGTGTGTATATATATATATATATATATATATATATATATATATATATTCTCATTCTGAGATTCCGTCATTAAAACATATGACTAAAAAAAGATGTGCAAAGTAAAACTACACATCGTATGTAATCAGATTTCAAAAAGGAAAGAGAACATGACAGAAGTGTATGCCCACAGAAACGACAATCATTCATTCAGTAGCTCACTAGCATTTTAAGCCACTACTCTAGATTCAGGGAATGCAGCTATGAATGCTGCACTGCCTTTGCAGGCTTAGCTATGCCAGAGACAAAGCGATGGCCACACAGACAACATGCCGTAGTGGCCCACAGGTAGGAAGAAAGCAAGTGTAGTGAAAAGGTCACAGCAGTGAGGGACAGATAAAGAGAGAGGCTAGGAGAGAGCAGTCAGAGGATCGAATACTGGTTGGGGTTCACTAAGTTGTGGTGGGAGAAGAGGCCAAATGGAGGACTGAAAGGTATTATGGAGCTGACTTGGAGCTTGTGTGCAGTGTACTGGGTATCGGAGACGGGGTAGTTTCTTGGGGCTTCATGTTATTTCATGATTGGAACTTTACTAGCACCATCCCAAGGACACTTAAATACCTCTTGTCTGTAATTTCACCACCTTAACAATTTTGTGTGGGTTTTGCCCCTTCTAACTTTTCTGCACATACTCTTAGATGGCTTTTGGATGCGTAGTGAGTTCTTCTGAAGGAGTCTTAGACAGACATCTAGTCAGAGTGTTCACAGGGACGGCAAAGAAGAGATGTTAGATGTGACCATGAAGTGGGGGAGGTGGGGAAACTAGCTAGACTCAAGGCAATAACAGGAGCAGGGGAGTGGCAGCCCGAGATATGGAGAAAGGCAGATCCTAGAGCCCAGGGAATAGTTGAACATTTTTGAACCTGTTGGGATATGGTGTTATATTATGTACTGGGACAAACTGAATTTCTCTTGGTCAGTAACTAAGGTCAAGTCTGTGGATGTCGGGAAGACATAGAATTAATTAATGGGCCATGGTGTGCTGTTTGCATCTTATGTACTCATAAAGACTTGGAATTTGAAAATATTTATTAGTTATCTACTTAACACTAACACCAAATTTTAGACTTTTGGGTTTATTGATGTCTTTTCCAGTCAGAAGACATGGAAGAGCCTCCCCCCCCCCCCCCACCCCAGTAGACATTACCTTCCCAGTTGCCCTTGAAAACAGCTCATTTTGTTTGTATTGATCCAACCCACTCTGTCTACACATGTCCCACAACAAGAGTTGTTATTTGGTAAAGCAAAGTGTCCCCACTGGGCATGTGCTTCCTTCAGAAAGTGCTTTCTTCGGTTCCTAAAGAACACAGGGTGAGCCTCCCCCTTTCAGTTTTGCTCCTTGGTCCTGAGCAGCAGCTCAGAGGACCCCTGTTCCCTCCATCTCGTGGCCACCCTACAGGCAATTGAGGACAGTTACTCTCTTTCCCAGGCACTGTTCCTCCAATTGCCCTTCATATGTCATGAATTCAGATCCATTTCAACCTGACTGAATGTTAACAGACAGAACCCTTGAAGCCAAGGGACTGTCTTCATCACATATGTAGAGAAATGTCTGGACATTTAAGTGCTACGTTTTCTCAAAAATATATTCAAGATATATGTTTATTCTATTATTGTAAATTTTAATAAATAAACAAACAAGTGAATAAAATAAGAATCCATGACTTCCTTCAGTGGTCCAGTCTAGTGCTGGAGTCATCTTGAGTCTTTTCGCTTACGTTGGATCTAAATAATTGACATTTTCATGTAAAACAGATTCGCCCTTCCATTACTTAACTTATTCATTCGGTCATTCAAACATTCACCGAGGAGCCACTTGTGTGAGGCATAATGTGGCTTCAGATATACAAAGACAACTGAAGCATGATGTATGTTTACAGCTCTCTCTCTGATCATAGCCTCGAAGGGAATCATTATGACTTTTCCCTAGGCCCACTTGCTTTGCCTCTTCTCTAGTCTGTCTACACCTTCAGAAGTCAGTGAGCAAACGGATAACGTCATGTGGTCTGGATGGACCTGGGAGAAGCGGCGAAGTGGTTTTAATTTCGGAGGAAAAAGGTATTTTTCAGATTTTTTTTGTTCAACAAACCAGCAGCGGTCTGACTCTAGGGCCTGTCATAGCCCAACTTTGACTGTTCTGTGGCTTGGTTCACTCAGCTCAGGTTTCAGCTGTTCTACAGCAGCTGAGAAGAAAGTGGGTGACAACAGCAAACAAGGAGGTGGTCCAGCTGGTTCTTACAGGTAAACTGCACTCACTTCTGAACGAGACTGAAGTACATTAGAGCTTTAGAGAGCCAATAACCTCCAAGTATCACCACTTCTATGTTTGAAGTAGAACTTGGACCACCAAAGTTTACAATGATATCTCTTAAATCATATACACATAGTTTCCTCCATTTTTATTTTGGTAGTTTCAGACCTATGGAAAAGCCAAATGATACAAGAACAATGTCTCTGTACAAATCACTAAGATACATTTCTGATCTCACTCTCTCCCTCTTCACATCACACATCTCTCTCTCTCTCTCTCTCTCTCTCTCTCCCTCTCATACACATGCACACACATTATCTTCTTATATAATTTTACCATTTAAAATTTATTTGTTGATCATAACACTTCATTTGTAAAGATGAGCTAATATGACCATGAATAAAGGCATTTTCTACAAGTCTTTAACACCATACAATATCACTCAGTAATCCTTACTATATTTTCTCTATTTTCAAGATATGTTCTTTTTTGTGTGCCTTTACCTTCAATCTAGTGCCCAAACAATAACCACATAGGCCTTTTAGCTTTGTATCTTCTTGATCAGTTTTTCATATGCTCAGCCCCATTTTGGTCCTCACCATATCGGCATTTTTGAAGAGCTCAGATCAGTTTTATAGAATGGTTCACAACCTGGATGAGTCTAGGTGTCTCATCACTGTAAATCTCAGGATGAACTGGCTTTTGTCGCTATAGTGTATGGATGGATGATACCATGTTCAAATCTTGTTTGGAGTGGGAATGGATCACTTACATTCTTGAGTCACATTTTCCTTTTGTTTTTCCAAGGCAGGGGGTTAGCAAACTATGGCCCATGGGCCTAATTCAACCCAGTGCCTGTTTGTCTTTGACCTGGGACCTAAGAATGACTTTTACATTTTATGTGGCTGAAAAAATAAAAATAAAAAATGTTTCATGATATGTGAAAATGATACGAAATTCAAATTTTCATGTCAGTCAATAAGGTCCTATTGAAACACAGATACACATATTTGTTTACATATAGTTACTTTTACACTCTAACTATAGAGTTACTTTGCTTCAGCAAAAGCTGAATGGTCAGGACATAGGACATCAGAGATGTTTCCTATGTGACCCACTGGAAACTCTTTTCTGATCCCTTATCTATGGAATTAGAGCCTCTGGTACAATTTTCTCAGAGGCAGATAGACTACAACTTGTAAAGTCAACTTGTAAAGGACATAGAACATACCAATTTTTCTTTAGATTTTTGGGTTTTGTTTTGTTTTGTTCGGGGACAGGGTTTCTCTGTGTAGCCTTGGCTATCCTGGATCTAGCTTTGTAGAGCAGGCTAGCCTCAAACTCTCAGAGATCTGTCTGCCTTTGCCTCCTAAATGCTGAGATTAAAGGCATGTGCCATCACACTTTATTACATTGTCAATTTCAGTTCCATGAAGAGTGAATGATACATTGATTTTCTCAAATCAGTATTCTATTATCTTCTAAGGCAGAGGTCAGCCAATAGAGCTATGGACCAAATACATGTTTTCATTTGACAAAGTACACTTTGTTTTATAAACTAAAAGATTATTCCACATCAGTAATTTAAGAATTTGAATTTAGTTCACCATTACTGATCATTTTGGAATTTAGTCAGTTACAGATTGGATATTTAGTGCAATCAAGATCACCAGAAAAATTGGAACAACCTAAACTCAATGCACCATTGAGTTGAGATCTTTTCTCTAAGTGTTTATCTAAAGCAGTCAAAAGTATTAAGCCAGGTTATTTCAGTATTCTCTTTTTCAAATTTATTTTCATCCCCAACATTAACAGTTATATAACACTTTAATTCCCTCACCATACACAAAAAGCTTCATGTGCCAAGGAAATGGGTATTCAGTTGAGACCCTGTTGTGGCCGTGGGTAGACACTCTCATTGAATGGAAGAGTGGAGGAGATCAGTCTGGTAGTTTCTCTACTGATTTCTGCAGGCACCTGTGTCTCACATATAGCAGGGGAACGCCCAAGTAGGCCGTGCAGGTGCCTCTTTAAAAACAACCAAACGCTTTCAACATAGCAATCGCCTCTTCGCGTGTCCAAAGGAAAATGATATGATATATGTAGATCCATGTATCGTATGTAGGTCCATGACAGGTTTCTTTAGCACTGGCATGCTAGGTAAGGTCTCGAGATCTTGCGACTCTCCATCTTGGACTCCCACCAAAGCAGAAAGTGTACAGCTTGTTTATACTTGTGCTTTGAAATCAATCAGGGCCACATAACACAACCTTCTTTAGGTTCTTTGTTAGGGCAGCGTACATGCAAGCTGGGATGGTGATCACACATGTGAAGTTGCTTTAGTCCATTGTGGCTGTTATAACAAAATACTTTATTCTGGGAAATTTGTAAACAAGGAAATTCTTAGCTAGACAATCTGGAAGCTGAGAAGCCGGAGGTCAGGACAAGAGAAGGCTCAGTGTCTGGGGAAAGCCTGCTCCCTGCTTTATTGATGGCATTCGTGGGTCTTCCTCACAGGAAGGGATGAGGAACAGGCTCCCTCAGCCTTCATCTGGTTCACAACTTAACTACTCTCCAAAGCCCCCTAACACTGTGCACTGGGGATGGGGTTTGAACATTGAATCTTAGGGCTACAGACATTCAGAACATAGCACAGGCATTTGCAGGTTTTCTGGAAATTGTTAG